AGCAAAAACTACCTTGGGAATGAACAAAACATAACCAAAGGACCCAAATGTATCAGCTCTTACCAAAAGAGCTTATTAGGTTTCAACCTGGAATATGTACAGCACAATGAAGAAAACACAAGAATTATGTTACTTACTGGAGGGCTATTTTAATTAACAGGGACAGCCACACTGTCTTGGGAATACACACTTGGCAAAAGCCCTTGTTTTTTTCTGTTGAAAATAAAGATGTGACCAATGTGGACCCTGAGCAGTTATTGCACATAAAGCAAAGGTGAGGTATCTTTTCTACAAAGAAGAGCTAAAATTTCTTCAACCATGTACACTAAAATTTGCAAATTGAAACAAAAAGACTAGAAAATAAAGAATCTGGATTAATAACTGGATGGAATTACATAATATGAAGACTAATAGAATATCTAGTTTCAAGGAAATAGTAATTTTAAATATTTTGAGCACAATACACCTACACAATACACTTATTGACTATTTCATTATCCAACATTTTGCATTTCTGACAGTAGTTAAGAATCTATTATTCGATGACTGTGTGCATTAACGATCTATTCCTGGCAGTAACAAAGCCGAGGTATGAAGCGAGAGTAACGCTGGCTGTGATGGTTATGGTTAAGTGTCCAGCTGGAGGGGCCATGACTCTCAGTGGCTTGGCAGTTAGGAATGATGCAATCTGGCACTTATTTAATTTTGTGCTAATCTTCCACTTTGTGCTCTGATGGGTTCACCTTCCATTTTCACATAACACTGTTTTTGTACAATTGACCTTGTCTTTGGAATGTGTCTTGATCAGTGAACAGTCTGTGGAGTGCAAGCGTTGTAAGATCTCATGATCTTAAGTTGGCTGTAATCTTCACTGAAGACCTCTACGATAACCTGCAAATAACACACACTGTGCAAGCTTGGTGAGGTCCACGGGTTGTTGGTCAGGTACTGATAGAAGGCTGAAATTTGGAAGGCTATGTGTTTTCAATGGGTTTATTGGAGATGGGCAGGTGGTAGAGAAAGATAGCTGAGGACGTGATCTAACACCCTGCTGTCCTGTGCTTTCGTAAGGATAGTTGGGCCTGGGTATGCTTCCCTGGCCAGCAGGGGTTCTGGAAGGTAAATCTAGGGTTGAACAACTGCCTTCTTGTTGCTTTCTGGAACACCCTGCTGCTAAGCCTTCATCCCATGCAGCAATGAGGTCTTTCTTTCTCTGGCTTTAAACATTTGACGGGACTGATTTGTGCAACAATTCAATATTAAGACAGCTGATTGCTTAAAAATGAGTGTTGAGGTCTCTTCTAACCCTGAGACTCTATAACTTAAAAGTCAGTTTTCAAATCTAATGTGAGGAAAGATTAACCGAAGAATAATAGCTCAAGGATCTCTTGATATTTACATTCTTTATAATATATCAGAGATCATTCGTTCTTAAAATATTATGAACA